CCAGTGTAGCAGACGGTTTCGTTGGCGCCACAGGTCACGTTATCGGCGTTCAAGCAGACGCCAAACACGCTAACGGAGCATTTGTTACAGATCAACGACTTCACTGGAACAGAAGACACAGAAACACAACAGTTTATTAAAAACTTAGATAACAAATATCATCTACCGTTAAGAAAAGCTTCACCCTTCGTGGGAAATCATTTGAAATAAGGCTTGTTCTCAGCTCTATAGTGTCTTTGGTATTTCCTGAAATTATCCGGCTGGCCGCACCTTAATTTGAGATGCGGTCAAAGCAAGTTAGACATTATCTGATACCTTTCACTCTTTTCACACAATGCAATTTTATTCAGATTTAGAAGCTCTACTAGATAGTTTTGTGGGTTTTTTTGACACAATGAAGGGGATTAAATCCAACCTCATTGTATCGAGTGAATTAATTTTCTTTCTTTGCGTTTAAAGAATATTCTCAGACATTAAAATAAGACGGTGAATCTTCCTGATTATTGTTCATAACTTTGGATTGTTGTAAATATAGGAAACAGTCAAATTCAAGTTTAAAACATATCTTTTTTTAAAAAATTAAGCAGTGTGTTTTACTAGAATAAGTAATTATTACCCAAAGCAAAGGATGCAATGGCCACAACAACAGCAAAAAGGAGCTTTCCCAGAAGAACCAAACTCTTCTGGGTTTGGTTCCTGGTTCAGATCCTTTAGGTGTTTTTCTGTCAGGCAACAAGCTGTTGTTAAACATCACAAATGATGAGACTGGAAGCAAAGTCAGAGATTTATATATATACACACCTGAAGGGTGGGGACATTATTGGGTGTGGAGCCTCGCAATAAGACAAAAATGATAATTTTTCAGCTTTGTCAGAAGTTTTAAAAAACGTTCAAAGGAACCTATAATTATTTTGTCCTGAGGAAATACCCAAAATACCCGAGATTACTGTCTCAAAATGTGAGCCGCCATTTTTGTCAAGCATGGTTTCTTTTAAAAAACATTAATTTATGGTTTAACTTTTTTCAAATTACATTTTAAAAAGTATATATTTATGTTTTTTTAAAAGACTAGCTGGCTAGCTAAGATGTATTGGCTTGTAAAAATACCTAAGCACATTCATTATTTTTTGTTTGTGTTTTGTTGTGAAGGTTTTTTTAGTGGATATTACTTACTCAGTCTTTTCGTATATTGATAATTGACCAGCAGTAAAACAAATTTAATGTAAACATTGGAATTAAAACTGACATTGTAGGAGTTTTTAAGGCCTAAAAGACATTTTAGGTTGTGCAGAAACCTCGATCCATCTTGAGAACCTGAGGAAAATTAGTAAAATTAGTCTTTTAACCCAACTTATCTCTTCTTTTTTCTCAAAAACAAACAAGACAGTTTAGTTTTTCATTTTGATGTCAGCAAGACACAAAAGAGGTGGAAGTTTGAGAATAAAGTTGAAATGATAAGAAAATAAAATGAGAATATAGTTGAAATAATTCAAAAATAACGAGAAAATAATTCAGAAATTAAGTAAAAAGGAGAGAATAAAGTCAACATAATACGAGAATAAATTCAAAATAATGTGAAAATCAAGTATGAATGATACAGAAAACTTTACAAAGTCGTTAATCATCCTGAAGACATCAAGTTAAGTAAAGTAAGTATTTATGAAACTGAGACTTCTGGGTGTTATGTAGATATTTATTTTATTTCAGTAGATTAAAAACATTTTGACTGAAAAACATTCAAACCAGAATCACAGAAGGTTTACGAGCTCAACGTTTCCTTAAACATCCCATTGATCAACTTCCATGATCTGACGAAGTCAAAGCCTGAATTTATGAATCAGCTGATTTATTGCTTATAGATTTTCATTGGATCGGGATTTAGCTTGAGAAGCTACATGTAGCTGGTGGCGTGTTGTAATCTGATTACAACACGCTTCCCAGGACGGAGGCCAGGACGGCTCCGCTGATGGCGGCGGTGAAGGTCATCTTGGAGGTCGGGGCGCCGCTCAGCGTGACGGGGTTGCACCGGTCCGTATTGCAGCAGGCGATCGTGGTGTTGTAGGCGACGCCCAGCAGAGTTGCCGACGTGGTTTTGTTGCAGCTAGCATCGTTCACCCTGCAACCCTGGTTGCTGAAGCCGTTGAAACTCGAGATGGAAGGAAAACCTGCAGGGAAAATGTAAAGTTTTCATTTATTTTGCGTCAGAAAACCCTGAAGTGAGTGTTGCGTTGCTGCTAATCATGAGCGAAGCATTTTGTACGCGTTAGGAAGGTTACTGACTCGCTCTCCCAGTGTAGCACACCGTGTCGTTTCCGGTGCAGGTCTCGTTGGAGGAGTTCAAGCAGAAGCCGAACACGCTGACGGAGCATTTGTTGCAGATGAGTGAATCCACTGAAAAGGACATGGAAACGTTTCAAAGTTTAATGAAAACCTTAATTAGCAAAGAGTAAAAACATTAAGATTATCTTGCAGATCTTTGCTAGCTTTAGCTTTTAGCTAAGAAATGCTTCGTCCTTGAGGAACATTTTGTTCTCTTGTTGAAGTTTTTCTTATTTACAGTTCGCTTGAAAAAACTTTCTGATTTGAAGTTGAGTTTTGTGTATTGGTTTGAAATGAACTCTCATTGGTGGAGTTTAGTTTCGTCTTGGTCCGCAGCCCTCTATTGTTACTGGTTTCGCCTTGAAAACCAGTAACAATAGAACTAGCCTAGCACCACCTCAGTAACTGTAGGATTTAACCCACAATTTGAAGATCTGTGAACAAAACAAAGTGTATTTTCATTTTTGTTTTCTTTGCTTTAGTTTAAATTGTTGAGAAAAGTATATTTTCTTATCCCTACTTTTAGAAATGTATGACATCAGCTCATTAGTAATACTTTAAAAGTAACTGCTCGACCAAACCCTGATTTGCAGCAGAAACCAGTTCAGCCTCACCCTCTGCGTACCTCAAACAATAAGTATTCTGACGTCTTTCGGGTTTTTCATTTTGTCATTTTGCTAATATTTCCAGAAATTTCTACATGAAACTTTGCTAGATGAAAAGCTGAAGTGGGTTATTAAAAAAATTTGATTATGAAATAGTTTGATTCACAGCTTGTACTGATAGATTTCGGTTGTGTTGCATTTAATTTTATGTTGTGTTGAAATTTCTGCCTGACAACATTGCAAAAACACAAAATTTACAAAGTAATTTTAGTCTAGATTTTAGTGCAAATATCTTAGCACACTTGAAATAAGACAAAATTAACTCAAAAGTAACTTTTGACCAAAATGTAGAGGCTTGTTTTAATAAATAATTCCTTATAATGTTGATGAAAATGTTCTAGTTCCACTTGCAGATCATTTCACTAAAAACATGGAGAAAAAAATTTCTTGTTATAAGTTAATTTATCTTACAATGACCCAAAAACAAGCTCATATTTTTTTGATGAAAAGTTACTTTTGAGTTAGTTTTGTCTTATTTCCAGTGTGCTGAGCTATTCGCTCTAGAAACTCGACCAAAAATACTTGGTGATATTGTGTGTTTTTGCAGTGTAGGCCCGACAAAGAAACAATGTAAACACAGTTATCTCTACAGGTTTTACAGATTAAAAAAATATTCTGGTTTGGGCTGAATATTTTGAAAATAGAGACATGTTGTTGGAAAACTGAGCAACTATTTCTATTTCTTGGTTCAGATTGATTGTGTTGGATTGTGCCAACCTTCGACTACGGAAGCTGAGATTGGACATTTTCCAGATATTCTTTCTCGAGATTAACTCATTATCGCTGCTTGACTCTTTTGAATAAACCGATTCTTATTTTTCAAACATCAACAACATCGCTCCAAACATTTTTTCAAGACGATTATCATAAAAGTCAATATGACAATATTACAGTTCATTCAGGTGTAAATGTTTCTTACCCAGAGCCAAGGACGCAATGGCTACAACAAAACCAAAGAACAGTTTTCCCATCTTGATTCGGTGTTTGGCTTTTGGCTCAAAGGTGAAAATAGAGTCCTGAGAGGATCAGAGGCTGCAGGAAGAAATGAGTCAGTTGTCAAAAGCGAAATTTATATAAATATATAGCTGCTGGGTGTGAAATGGGTGGACTAGCATATTTGGCTTTCTTTTGTACTAATTAATAAAGGAGCGGCTGAGAGACTGTGGAGCCTTGGAGAAATATACGATACCATAAACAACTTCACAAGCATCTGAAATGTTCTGAGACTTTCTTAACAGTATATTTGTTTTAGTTAAATAGAAGAGATGACGAACCGATTAACTCTATTTGAAGAAAAATTAATTTCTTCTCTCATTCTAAAACATGTCTTAATAAATTATAATAAAATTTGTGCTTAAATTAAAAAAATATATATTTATATATATCCATGATTTTGTAAAATCATGGATATATATAAAGCTTTCAAATAATTGCTATGAAAAAAAAATGAAAAAAATATGAGGTGATATTTATTATCGAAATTATGAATTTAATATTTGGACTTTTTCAGAAAAAGTGAAAGAGTTGTCATCATAATTTATTCAAAATGGACTTTTGTCTTAAAAAACGACTTTTTATATTAATAGATTCATTAGTTGTGTGTTTTTTTACGGTAAGATGTTGCTGGGAACGCTGGTTTCACCAGATCCTGTGAACAGAAGTTTCATAAAATGTTTTAAGGTTTTTCTACTGAAATTCTCTCTTTACTGCAAACTAAATAACACAAAGTATGTTCATATATAGATGTGAATTTTTCTTATTTTTCTCTCTTTATTTCGTATTTGTATAAAAACTTAAAAACATTAATTTCACCCACTTTCAAATACATGGTTTTGTCCATGTCTGGTTTTGTCCTGACTCAGTTATTCATCAAAAAGTTGAACAATTACAGATTTTTGACGCATATTTTCCATTCAGGCGAGTCGTGTTTACGTCGATCTGGAAGCGTTGGTCAGACTGGGAACATCTCCAAGGTGATTTTGTTTAGAAAACACCTGGAAACAAATACCGCACAGCTCACCCTTTCCCATTTTATTCACCTTTGTCAAAAACAATTTTACAAAGAAACATTTAATCTTAAAGTCAGACACAAATTTCTGATTTTGAAAATATTGAGGAAACATCCACAGAAGGAAAAGCAACATAAAAAAGTAAATAAATGAGTACACTTTAAATGAAATGCGACCTAAATATGCTGACCAAATCTTTAAAAAAATATGTAAAAACTTTCATCCTACAGTTTCTGATCAACCGCTGTCAATGCATAACGAACACAAACATCAAGAAGTTACATAAAACTGATGGAGTCATGTGTTTTTTAAAATTATTAAACCTTTTTAAGATAGCTAAAAAAAACAAAACCAACCACCCAGAAATACAAAACGAAATGTTTTACTTTGAAATCAGCAGAACGAAATACTTTCCAAATCTTTTTCGAATCTTAAAATTAATATCTTACTTTATGCAATATCTGCCATTAGCTTAGCTTAGCATGTTTAACAGCTAGCTACTGAGAATGACGATTACTTCTCTGTCTTTTTGTTTGCAAAAATAACCTCAGTTTTCTTTCTTAAACACTTGGAATCACATGTGTGATAGAAAGATGAGCGTTTTTTTCTACATTGTGAGCTAGCGACCAAGCTAGCTGTTTTCCAAGTCACCAGTCAAGAAAATGTTAAATTTAAGATCAAGTTTTCAGTTTCTAACAATGAATTGACAAAGAAATGCATATTAAGCTCCTTTTTACTTTGAATTAACAATACATGACATTAAAAACAAACTGCATTTCACATTTCAATAGTAAATCTGTAAAGAAATGCATGTAAAAACAGAATTTGTAAATGTGTTGCAAATCAGTTTGAATTTAACTTAATTTCCAGCTAACATTTTGTTTTTGAGGGATTTAGGAACTTAAACGATGCAAAGATCACTTTAAAGCATGCATGAAAATCAAAGGTCTAGTGCTAGAACATGTATTATGGTACTATGTGTCTGTAAGCTGTTCTCTAGATTATGAAGTTGGCTGCAAGAAGAGAAAACATGGTGACAGCAGCCAGGCTGAGGGCGGAGGCGCCGGGCAGGCCTGGCGCCGCGTTGCACAGGTTGGCGTTGCAGCAGGTTTTGGTCATGGAGTAGACGGTGGTGTTGGAGGTGCCGGGCAAGTTCACGTTCTCCGTCTTGTCGCATTTTGCTACATCAAGGCATCCCTTCATTTTGATTTTCACTTCACCTGTAGAAGAATAAAAAACATCAATAGCATCAAAGGATTTACTATCAACCAGTAAATCTATTTTCAATCCGTTTCAATGAAAGTTGTTCAACTTAAGTCTTTTTGCTCTATTTAAGTCGTGTTTAAAGTCATTGTAGTTATTATTATCCAATGGTCTAATAAATTTTAATGAATGTTTTTATGGTTTTCTCAAGATAATGAGTTAATTTCCTGCTGGTTTATGACTTAATTTCTGATTGGTTTTCTCAATATAACGAGTTAATCGATCAGAAAAAGATAGTTGCGCGTTAACCCTGATTCCCTCCTTCTGATTTGTCGCCGTGCTGCACAAAGCCATGCAAGCCTTTAAGACATGCATGAAGCGGCCGTGCAGATGAAACCTTGTTTCATCTGCAGTTTTCTCAACAGTTTTTAACTCCAAGTGATTGTAAATTTAAAACCATCATAAAACCATCATAGGACACTTGATTGCAAAAGAAAACGACGTCATATTTTAGAATCTTGACATCGTTTAGTAATTTTGAAGGTTTTTGTGGCTGGAAGCAAAGTGAGGATGACTGGGAAGAAAATTAATCAGACTTTATGGTGACATCATGGTTCAGGTTCATATATGTGACAAAAGTAATAATAAAATACCTGCTGGTATTTTGTGAATGAACTGAATCAGGGTCAGCTTGTTTTTAAAATTTGTAATTGCATTTTACGTTTTCACATCTTTATTTTCCTTATTCTTACTTTGATTATGCACCTATAAACAAAACCATTTTATACACATCTGGTTGTTTAATTCATGAAAATACTTAACTACAACAAAAAATAAACAGATAAACAGACATATAAATACTTGGACTCCATTGATAATTGACCTAAATTATATATCATCTGAAAATGCTGTTTTACTCATATAGACCACTTAAAGAAATATAATATATTTTTTGTTGCATAACATTTATTCATATTACACAAGACTTGCATAATGTTGATGCTATTTTAATTATTTGTTTCAGTGTTTTTAAGCCACTAGTACAACTTGATCATAGTCATGTTTTGTTGTTGTTGATATTTATGGGACATTTTTTTAAGTGCACTGATGTCATATCTCTGTTTATTGCTGATAAGCTAAGAGAAACCTATAGAAATAAAAAGTCAGTAGAAACAAGCAGAAAGATGCTCAGCAGTAAAGAGGAGTTTGATTTAGGGCTGAAATAATCGCAACCTCAGCTGACCAAAGTGCTTCACTATATCACAGGTAGATAAACAATAAAACAAAATATAAAGTTTAGTCAAAATGCTGAAAATACAAAAAAAAAAATTATATATATATATCTCTCTGCAGCGTTTTCTCTCAAATGAAATTATAATTTCCAGGCTTTTTTGTTCAAGCTAGCTTGTTCTTGCTAGCTTGAACAAGCAGAAAGATGAGTCAAAGTTTTCCTCGACAAAAGTCCCACAAGAAGAATAAAACTCAGTAGTCCTGCCTCAGCAAAACTTAAAACCTGTTGTTATTTAAGGCCAACATTTTTAAATGAATTTAAGACGTTTTAAGGCCTTCATTTTACATACATAAATGTGAGACTCCCTGAAGACAGCGGGTCAGAGAGTTGTAAACCCAAAATCATTGCTGAGCATAAAGAATCAAAATGGCTGCCTCATATTTGGGGCCAAGAGGGAAACGTGATGATTTCTGGGGAAATTTTCCGTGGATCTTTTCTGAAAGTGAACTTCCTGTTACATTCAATCCGCCTCTGAAATTAAACAAGATTAAGGTTTTGCCCTAAAAAACACTAAATCTTACCGAGTATTCCTGTTCTAGTTTATAGTGCAAATATCTTGGTACATGTGAAATTAGACAAAACTAAATTACAAGTAACTTAGCAAGACATAGAGGCTTATTTTAAGTGAACAACTCCTAATAAAACGAAACATTTTCTACATGTTATTAGTGAAATAATCACTAATAACTGGAACTGGAAGTTTTTCATCAATATTAATTATTTACTTAAAGAAAGTCACAATATCGTGTTGAAAAGCTACTTTTGAGTTAGTTTTGTCTTATTTCTTACTTTTCTTCGTATTCTTATTTTTTAAAGATAGATACAAAGATTTGTTTTAAGGAAATAATTCCTTAATGTTGATGAAAAGACACTTTTTCCATTGGCAGATTATTTCACTTGTAACAAAACATTTTGTCCATGTTATAAATTAATTGATCTGCCCATGCATCCAAAACTTTTTCACCAGTATCAAGGAATTATTTACTTAAAACGTGTCTATTTCTTTTCATTTTGAGTATACCAAGATATTTGCCCTAGAAACTACACCAAAGTTACTCAGTAAGATTTTGTGTTTTTTGCAGTGTGGAGGGTCCCTGACAAAGCATTGGTTTAAATCTCTTTAAAGCGTTTACTGTTGGAAAATCCACCAACATGGCCGACTTAAAAATGTTCCAAAATTCCTCCACAGTAATAAAAACGACTCGGTTGCAGCTGCTGCCGGCCCAACCAGTCAGTGGGTGTGGGGAGGAACTGATGGGGCTGATACTGGGAAACCACACCACCATGTTCTGTTGATAAACATTTCCTTAAAAAACAAATTAGTCACCCAGGGGTTCAGGAATGCAGTTGTGAATGTGAAGAGATTATCCCACGGTGAGACATTTAGATGAGTGACTCACCTGATCCCCCTTCGCCGCTGAAGCAGCGCTGCCCGGCATCACATGTGATTTTTGTGGTGTAGCAGACGTTCCACAATCCGAGTGTACATTTGTAGCATTGAAGGTTTTGACCTGTTAGGTTTGAGGAATCAAGGATTCGGGGAGGAAGAAGAGATACGGAGAAAAAATGTTTACTTGTTAATAGATCAGCAGGAGATTGTGCAGAGAGTTACTGACAACATTTGGATCAGAGCAGGAAGTTAACAGGTTTCATTTAAAAAACTAAAAGGAGGAAGAGAACAGAAACTATCTCCGTCTTTTAAAAGGTAACTGAAGTGTGAAACAATGAAACCTGTCATAATAAACACAGACATTTTTTGAAACAAAACATATAAATTATTTATTAATCACATAATTAAAAATTATTTACAGCAATATGAACATGCTTTGATTTAAACCAGGGTGTCCAAAGTGCAGTCCAGGACTGGAATTTATAGCATTCTGAATGTATTCCAGAAAGTACATCCTTGGCCTTTAATAACCTTCTTGTATGACATACTCTAGCTTTAAATGGTGCCATAGCTTCTCCATGTCTCTCTTCATTATTAAGTATGTATAATTATTAAGTATGTATAATGTATAATGTATTCTTGCTCTCTTATCTGCTTGCACGCACACTTGCATAACCGTAGCATATAAGACTAGCAGATGGTAATGGATAAACTGATTATGAGAAGGTGCAGAGAGAGAAATAGATTAAAACAAAATGCACACGCCATGATTTGCAGTGTGTAGTTTGTGCTACATCCTCCATCTTTGGGTATTAAATATTTTTAAATATGACTAATAATTTTCTTATTTCTTAAGTTTGAATGGCAACTAAATCTCAGGGTCTGGTCTCACCTGTAAAAAAATCTGGTAGACTTCAAAACAACTTCATAAAGTTTTATGTTAACTAATTTTCTTTAGCAGAACCATGAGACCGGTAGAGAACAACTGGACTTATATATAGGTTAAATAAACAACAAAGAAGGTCTCTGCTTTGATAGCTACTCAGGTAGCTATCAATGTAGCTAGATAGATAGCTAGGTGACTTCTGATGGGAAATAGCTAGCCTTCTAGCTAACTGTCAAGATAGCTAGAAAAGGCACAACTATCGAGATAGTTAGCTAGTCATCTAGATAACTATCCAGGTCGCTATCTATGTAGTGAGATAGATACCCGATTGATTTCTGATGGGAGGCAGCTAAGCATCTAGATAGGTAGATAATTAACTAACTATTGAGATAGTTAAAAATGGCACAACTAGCTCGCTAGTTAACTAGGTGACTTTTGATGGGAGCAATTTGGCTAACTAGATAGTTGAGCCTTTTCTAATAATTAGGTATCTAGACAGATTGCGTTTTGTGTTGTTGAGAGCTGCTGGTTGTTTGGCAGAAGGATCACATTGTTTCACATTCAGGTTTTTCTTCATTCCACAGAGGAGTTTCATCCTCCTGGCGGCCAGGAGGATGAAAGGTACATCAAGGTCACTGTGATCTCTCTTGAAACTGAGGCCTCCGAAACCCAATTGTGTCATGGAAAAGCTTCTTGCTATTTAAGTTTTACTTGTGGACACTGTTTATTACATGAACCTGACATAAAAAACGCTTTTACCCCAGATATGTAATTAAATTCCCAGAGGCCAAGAAATGGAGGATATATCCAGAGAAGTTTTAGGACTTTAAGGTTTCTTTAAAAACAAATTATGGCATCAAAAGGAAGATATGTTGGCATGTAAAAGATCTTAAAAACACACCGATGAGCTCAAGATGAAACTCGGTTTGGGACTTTCCATGGTAAAACATTTCCGTGTTGTATTTGTTACAAATTTAGAAGCAGGAAGCAGCGAGACGAGGAAGCTACAAATACACAAAAAACAGAAGATAAACTTTAAAGAACATCAATAAATAAAACACCTGGAGCCATGAAGTTCTCTTAATACCAAAATAGATTGAGGACAAACTTTTTATTTAGCAAGTAATTCATCCTGATCCAAGTTTTGATTGGATCAAAAATAAACGATTAGCTGCTGTTTGTTTAGAAAAAAAAAATCCAAATTTTATTCATGAGTTGCAAATCATTTTGGTTTTTTTCCACTGAATTGGAAAGTTTTCAGTTCCTGATCTATTAATGCCCCTTCTTACCCCTCCTTCTTCCTGTCCAGCTACTGGTGAGCGACAGAAACCTTTAGAAAAAACTGGGTTGAACTGGTTTTACTGTCAGGAAAAAGTACGAAGAATGCAGCTTTTCTGGCTGCTGACCTTTCACATCCAGTGACTTTGACACCTTTTGTTAAAGCATTGAAAAAACACAACCTGATTCAATCTCACATCTAGATGTCTGTGTCCAAAATATGCAAAACACACCACTTTGTGCTGCTAAAAGGTTAAATCAGACTTTTTAAAAAATGGAGAACACTTACAAATGATCATAAATGTTAGATGTGTTATTTATTGTCGTGCATGCAAAAAATATTTAAAAGATTATATTAATTTGGAAAAAAGGAACATTTTGACACCTGAATACTTTCAACTTGTGGATTTTGACAAAAAGTTTGGACATCCCTGAGTTAAATAGTAAAATCATAAAAAATCCTTGACTGTAAATATGAATAAAACAAAGTTTTTTTTGTAAAGTTGTTTTAAATGTAAAAATGTCAGGTTCTGTGTTTTTCTGTGTTTAATTCTGAGTTTCTGTGTCCTGAGTTCTCCTAGTTGTCCTGTCTTCCCCTTGATTGTTCCCAGGTGTGTCACTGATTACCCTCAGTGTATTTAGTCCCTCCTGTGTCCTTTGTTCCTCGTCGGGTCCTTGTCGTTGTTTGTCAGATTGTCGTTGTTTTTTTGTGCCGCCCTTAAGACCAGTTGCTACCGGTGTGAGCCCTGGCTTCTGCTCAGCCGTGCTGCCTGGCCGCGGACTATTGTTTATTGACTCTGTGTTTTTTGTGGACTTATTTTCATTAAATTACTCACCATACACCTACCTGGGTCTCCAGCGTCTGCCTCACCACCTCACCACCACCATTTTATGACAGAAGGACCCGACCAAAAGGAATTACGGTGAGGCCGCATTATGGACCCAGAGGGTTTAGAGGAGCTGCTCCGAACCATTCGCGAGTATGAGGAGTCAAGGAGTACGTCCTCGTTTGCGTTGAGGCGACTGGGGTTCGCCATACGCCTGGGACTGCTGTTGGACTACTGGGTTCCACGTCTCCAGCACCCCGCGCTGGTGGAGCTGCAGCGGGAGGCAGAGGAGATACGCCGGACAGCCTTTGCTGCCTGGGATGCTAAACCTCTGCCTCCCAGGCCAGACATCCGCTCCGGCAGCCCAGCCCCAGCTCCAGCCTCTGCTCCTCGTGCCGCTCCGCCGGACCCCGCTCCGGCTGCCGTTCCTGCTCCGCCGGACCCCGCTCCGGCTGCCGTTCCTGCTCCGCCGGACCCCGCTCCGGCTGCCGCTCCTGCTCCGCCGGACCCCGCTCCGGCTGCCGCTCCTGCTCCGCCGGACCCAGCTCCGGCTGCCGTTCCTGCGCCGCCAGACCCCGCTCCGGCTGCCGTTCCTGCGCCGCCGGACCCCGCTCCGGCTGCCGTTCCTGCGCCGCCGGATTCCGCTCCGGCTGCCGTTCCTGCTCCGCCGGATTCCGCTCCGGCTGCCGTTCCTGCCCCGCCGGATTCCGCTCCGGCCTCCGTGGACTCTGCTCCGCCGGATTTCGCTCCGGCTCCTGCTCCGCCGGATTCCGCTCCGGCTCCGGCTCCTGCTCCGCCGGATTCCGCTCCGGCCTCCGTGGACTCTGCTCCTTCCGAGATCCCTAGTGCTCCTTCCGAGATCCCTAGTGCTCCTCCCGAGATCCCTAGTGCTCCTTCCGAGATCCCTAGTGCTCCTTCCGAGATCCCTAGTGCTCCTTCCGAGATCCCTAGTGCTCCTTCCGAGATCCCTAGTGCTCCTTCCGAGATCCCTAGTGCTCCTTCCGAGATCCCTAGTGCTCCTCCCGAGATCCCTAGTGCTCCTCCCGAGATCCCTAGTGCTCCTCCCGAGATCCCTAGTGCTCCTCCCGAGATCCCTAGTGCTCCTCCCGAGATCCCCAGTGCTCCTCCCGAGACTCCCAGTGCTCCTCCCGAGACTCCCAGTGCTCCTCCCGAGACTCCCAGTGCTCCTCCCGAGACTCCCAGTGCTCCTCCAGTGTCCCTAGTGCTCCTCCAGTGTCCCCTAGTGCTCCTCCCGAGTCCCCTAGTGCTCCTCCCGAGTCCCCTAGTGCTCCTCCCGAGTCCCCTAGTGCTCCTCCCGAGTCCCCTAGTGCTCCTTGGCGCCGAGGACGCCCTCCGGACCTCCCCCGTGGGGTCTGCCGCGGGCCGAGGACGCCCTCCGGACCTCCCCCGTGGGGTCTGCCGCGGGCGCCGAGGACGCCCTCCGGACCTCCCCCGTGGGGTCTGCCGCGGGCGCCGAGGACGCCCTCCGGACCCCCCGTGGGGTCTGCCGCGGGCGCCGAGGACGCCCTCCGGACCTCCCCCGTGGGGTCTGCCGCGGGCGCCGAGGACGCCCTCCGGACCCCCCTCGACGCCTCTGCCCTCTTTCTGTTTAGTTTTGGACTCTTGGCCCCTCCTTGTGTTTCCGCCCACCTTTTGTGGGTAGTTTTTTGTTTTCTGGACTCTGGCCCTCCTTCCGTCGCCCCTCCGCCCACCCTGGTTTTTGGGTTTTGGATTTTGTTTTTGGGCGTCTGGTAGCCGCCCTTTAAGGGGGGGGTACTGTCAGGTTCTGTGTTTTTCTGTGTTTAATTCTGAGTTTCTGTGTCCTGAGTTCTCCTAGTTGTCCTGTCTTCCCCTTGATTGTTCCCAGGTGTGTCACTGATTACCCTCAGTGTATTTAGTCCCTCCTGTGTCCTTTGTTCCTCGTCGGGTCCTTGTCGTTGTTTGTCAGATTGTCGTTGTTTTTTTGTGCCGCCCTTAAGACCAGTTGCTACCGGTGTGAGCCCTGGCTTCTGCTCAGCCGTGCTGCCTGGCCGCGGACTATTGTTTATTGACTCTGTGTTTTTGTGGACTTATTTTCATTAAATTACTCACCATACACCTACCTGGGTCTCCAGCGTCTGCCTCACCACCTCACCACCACCACATTATGACAAAAAATATTTTATCAGATGGTGAACCAGAAAATAACAGAAACTGATTGCTGCGTTTCTTTTTGGTTCAGGATTTGTCTCTGCCGCCATTTTGAGCAGCTTGTTGCCATGTTTACGGCCATGTTTGGCACATTGTGTGCATAGCTAAACACAGACAACAAAACCTCGTGTCTTAGCGGAACCGGTCGGCCCAGTTCTCACCTCGGCATCTTGTGACTGATGGAAAATACGTCATCAAACAAAAGAGTTACGGACCGTCCCTTCCTTTGTGAAGGGACACAAGCGTTCAAACTGTGCCCTACTTAACCCAAATATGATTTATATGTTAATGTTGTGTGGATATGAAATAATGTGAGCGACAGACAGACGACCTCAATTTCCCTATGGGATTAATAAAGTTTTGTTCTAGATTTTATTCTCAAATATTTAAATTTCACTGCATTTCTACAATTTATTTTATTAAAATAACCCAAGCTCAAGTTTCAGAGTTCCACTTTTATTTGCCTGAAATGATTTAGCCAAATAAACACAAAGTGAAAAACACAAAATCTTTCCAAATATTTTTAGTCTAATTTCTTGTCTAAATATCTTAGCACACTTTAAACAAGATAAAATAACTTAAGCAAGATAAGAAAACAATTCCTTAATATGCATAGATAAATATTAGTTCCACTGGCAGATAAATAAACTTATAACAGATAAATAAACTTATAACAGATAAATAAACTTATAACAGATAAATAAACTTATAACAGATAAATAAACTTATAACGAAACATTTTCATGTTTCTAGTGAAATAGAACGTGGTTGCTAGGTGACGGTGTGAGCTTGGCTGGCGTTGCTAGGTAACAGTGCCAGTGTAACCAGAACTTTTTCATCTGTTTTAAGGAATTATTGGCCTAAAACAAGTTTCTGTATCTAGTTCAAAAGTTACTTTTAAGTTAGTTTTGTCTTATTTCAAGCGTACTAAGATACTCGCACTAGAAACTAAAAATACTTTTTGTGTTTTTGCAGTGTGCGTCAGAGTTTAGTGTGTCACCCAGAAATTTAAACACAACGTGAAATAATCTAAAACTTTAACATCAATACAAAAATACATTAAGGCCTGCAGTTAAATGTAACCAAATTAATCTAAGATTAAGTTATGAATTAAACGCAAAAGGATTTTAGATTTATTTAAAGAATTCAGTGTTTCGGTTGTTTCTAGATTAGTTTATTCATAGATTTGTGTTGCATAGAAGCTGATCTTTATTGTGTTTTGGAGACAAGCTGTTTAGTGATTTAGAAACTAAAGTGTTTAAAAATGTGTTCACTGAAATACAGACTTTCTGATTCATGGAAACTTCAGAATGCAAATCAAGAAATTTAAATAAACTTTAAATAAACCCGACAGAACGCAAGCCGGTCCAACTTCATTCCAGTGAAGACGAAGCGGTGAAACACTTTCAGTGTCGCTTTTAAAAGTATGTTTTGTGAAGAACAGATCGCAGCGTTCTGGACAAATATGTGAAAAAAACTTTAATTAATAGAAGTGTTTTATCTGAACGCAGTCATAATGGATGAATGAAGCAAAGGCTGATGGGAAATGTTACAATTAATATAAACCAAATCAGTCGCAAACTATCCTGATTTTATTTTTTATTTTATTTAATCATGGTGAAGTAAACACTGTTGAGTTTACTTGAAATACTGACGTTAAAATCCTAAAATATTCAAATTTAATTATGAGAACAAGTTTATAATTATCA